ATATATAATAAATAATAAATATTATATATATATAATTTTATATATATATATATAATAAATAATTAAATATCCTGGCTAGATTGCGGATATTTGTGGAAATTCATACTTTTATGAGTAGAAATAATCAAATGGTAAATGAGTACAATTGTAGTTGAACAAATGATAAACTTTTTCATAAACGCACGAATATATGCAATCTAATCGTAATCAAGTTCGGTGTATCATTTCTGTGTATAATAACATACCTGACTGTTCATATAACGCAAGAAGAAGTCAAGCAGGAAGCTTTTGCCTTTTCTGAAAGCGCCTGCCACTGATACAACAACCACGCTCCTGTTTTTAATGTCATTTTCAAGGAGAATTTTCGACAAGGCTTCTTCGTTTAACTCGAAACTGTGGTCTGGATGAGCAAGTACAATTTGCACAGGTTGTCCGACATCCGAGGTGTTTTTATCCTGACTATCCATTGAAAGACGTTCTATTCTTTCTTGCCAACCCGATCGATCTAACGAGGACCATGAACAAAAACAAGTACAATCAATTAATTACGTATCACCTTTAGAGATAAGATTAAATCACACATTCTCTATAATCAAATATCTTAATTTTATAATTCTGTTAATGTTGTTCAGATTCTTGTAGAAGTTCATGTCTACATCGTACCAAGAAGGAAAGGTTGATTTATTCTTGTCTTGTGCATATATACTCTCATTACGTATTCGCTGTTAAATTTTTAATATAAACCTTCAGTTTCTTGGAATCGCGTTCTTTTTTCACTCGATTGCCAGAAATTTTTGTAAAATAAAGGAAACATGGAAACAACTCGTTAACCACGAACGATGAAAATCTTTCACTCTGATTGTGAAAACGGCCAGGAGGATGTGTGACATTCAGAGGCCTTGACATCATTGACATTATTCAGGCACATGACTAAGGAGATGTAATCTAGATGCGTGTGATATAAAAACGAATTCTATAAAATCAGCTATTGGTTATTAAAATTGTTGTTTGTGCCACGTGATTCGCTGACAAACACGTACTTAGACGTTCATGCAAACAATATTACAGGCTTGGGTATTACGATAATGATCTAATTAAATAATCATCTGCAATTGTGCTATCATCAGTGAACCACGGATAATATCGTATTTACATGTTTAATTCTTTCAGAAAAAAATTAATCCGTATATACGAACTTTACTTACTATTACGAAGAGAATACAAGATCTTTACGTAATCGACAGAAACGTCTAAATGAAATATACAACGACGAGTAAATGAAATATACAGGCAATTTTATTCGTGGATTTTTATCTTATCTGTCAATTTTTCTATACAACGAAAAAAGAGAAAGAGAGGAATTATATCTATGTGAATAGCTGAAACGACTCGGAGATTACCATGTGATCTTGATTACGCGTGTAATGATAATTGGTGCCCGGATTCCACGTTTCATGAGTCCCGTGTACACTTTCGTTTTCCAGTAATAATTTCTATGGTGCGTGATTAACACGTGGAGCGGCGAGTTACATGGAAATTTCTCACGACTCGATTTCCAAGCTGTTTTTATAATCGACGTGTACGCATTTGCATTTGCGTGAAACGACCACGCGAATTCCACCAGTCTGCCACCTCGATCGTAAACCTGTTACTCGCAAACACGCTGAACACTTCAACAGATCGATCTTGCAAATGGTGTCCAATTTTTTGACTGCGTACAATACCAGCCGAAAGCTGCAAAATGCAGAATGGTCCGTGACAATTGATTTTATTTTCAGGCATATTGCTGAAGATATTCACGTCATTTACGACTCGTCCTTTATGACTAACGATTCGACATCATTATATCACAGACTTTTATAGCACTGTGTGAAACTTGATTTAAGATAAACTCGTTCATTCTTCCTACCTTTATGCATACATACCGTAGATTTTCATCTCAACCTGACGGAACGGTTCGTGCGATCTCATTTCTGCATTAAAATACATTTAATTATGAGATTAATTCACTCGAATAATAGAAGGTCGAATTCTTTTCAGAATTCTTCTCTTTCCCTTTCAATTCTCTTCTAAGCAAAAGTTTCGCATATGTCTTTGCCCTTTTCCGAACGACATACATAAATGCTATTCTGCTATTCACAGTCTCAAGAATTAATTAAAAAAAAAAAAAAAAAAAAAAAAAAAAAAAAAAAAA